CTGACGTCGAAGGTTCCCCCACCCAGGTCAAAGATGAGGATGTTTCTTGCGTCTTCCAGGTCCTTGTCGAAGCCGTAGGCCAGAGCGGCAGCCGTCGGTTCATTGATGATCCTCAGGACTTCCAGGCCCGCGAGGGAGCCGGCAGTTTTGGTGCCCTGCCGCTGAGCGTCGTTGAAGTAGGCAGGCACTGTTATAACTGTGAAAAGCCATTGGGTTTATTGACAGTATCTTAAGGAAACTAGGATGGAACCGAAGATTGGAGCTTAATGTTCAGAATTGTATTATAAGTAAAACAAGATGGCGTTGATATAAAAAAGCAACATATGATTAGGTGGGAAGAGGAGATGATGATAATGAAAATAGCATCTGTTTGGGATGGTATGACCATTAGACATGGTGGATGCATGCATGGGTTGAGATGTTGTGACCGTCGATGAATGCATGAGTTGGCATGTTGTGACCGTCAGACACGTTGGATGCATGCATGAGTTGGGATGTTGTGACCGTCAGACACGTTGGATGCATGCATGAATTGGGATGTTGTGACCGTCAGACACGTTGGATGCATGCATGAGTTGGGATGTTGTGACCGTCAGACACGTTGGATGCATGCATGAGTTGGGATGTTGTGACCGTCAGACACGTTGGATGCATGCATGAATTGGGATGTTGTGACCGTCAGACACGTTGGATGCATGCATGAGTTGGGATGTTGTGACGATCAGACATTTTGGATGTTTGCATAAAAAAAAATAAAGTTTTTGTTGTTGTTTTCTATGAAATCTAAAGAAGACTTTCGCTTGATAGGAATAATAATTGTTTTGACAGCGGATAACGCCATGGAATTTATGACTGATGAACAGAAGGATTATATTATATAATCATATTTGTGATTCTTGAATCGTGTTTAAACTTAATTGTACGCAATTTCATTTTTATAGAAATGGGTCGGGTAGATTTCAAAAGAGAATTATTCATTTTTGAAAGTTTATGATTATATTGATGTGACAGACGATAGAAAATGTGCGTCCATACGAAGAACCAACGATATCTTACCTGCCTCCGTAACTGGCCTCCCGAGATACGCCTCTGCAATTTCCTTCATCTTGTGCAGTATCACAGAGCTGATCTCTTCAGGGGTGAAGAAGTTCTTGTCGTGTTCAACGTAAATCATGGGCTTCCCTGGGGTTAAGATTGTAAACTTTGGCACCGCATTGATGGGTTAAACAAGACAAGATCATCGCTATGTGTCTGCTTTGGGATGACTAGTCGTACAACAATGTGTCTTTACCGCCCATAAATCAATTTCATGCGACTATCATGTAACGGTCGAACATAATTTGAAGATATAAAATTGTATCTCTCTCCCTATTTACTTCTTTGACATATTATTTTCTTATTAAGATGAGCACCGTAATTTGTAGTGAACGTCGTACAAACACACTTCCACTGCCGGATGATATTTTCTTACCTCCTTTGTCCTCCACTCTGAATGGCCAGTTCTTCTTATCCCCCTGGACGCTCTGGTCTGAGTACTTTCGTCCTATCAGCCTCTTGGTGTCAAATATTGTATTGGCGGGATTCGTGGCCGCCTGGCTTCTGGCCGGGTCGCCAACAAGTCGCTCTGTACTCGTGAAGGCCACACAGCTGGGTGTGGCTCTGTTGCCCTAGTTGAAAGAAAGCAGCATATGTTTATAAGATATAGAGAGGGAAATATGGGTGGGCATGGGGTATAATAAGAAAAATGTTATCTTGAGTGCTACAAGTTCTGACCTGTTCATTGGGAATAATCTCCACCCTTCCATTTCGAAAGACCCCCACGCAGGTGAAAGTGGTGCCCAGGTCTATTCCGATGGCAGGCGCCTTGCTCTGTGGCATCATGGTTACGTCCACACTGTCACTAGGATTTTTCTAGTTTTGACACCAGTAGAGAAGAAAATAGAAGAAGAAATTTAGAATAAAGCTAGTAGCCTAGGTAGACGCTCGAGTTCGAAAAGAAGTATAACTTAATCTTTAGGAAAACGAAACAAACTTTACAAATGCGGTCGAGAAAACCATGTATGAATGCATATTATTTAATTGAAGGTTTCTTTAAAGATAATAAAAACATTTTCCCTTAAATTTGTACACATATTTCTTTTGTACCATTGCTTCAGGTCTTCCGACTGGACGCTATCGCATGATAGTCCTGCACCAAACCATCTTGAGGTTGCTGCTGCTCGACATCCCGGACGTTTGGATTCTTGCAGTGTTGGTGGTTCTAATGTGCTTGTGTTTGACGTCTAAGTTTTGTGTGTAGCTTTACAGGAAGTTGGATTAACAGGAACTCTCGAAAAATGATACCCGCAGACCCATTTCAGGACACAAATAGTTTTGGTGCAGAGCAGCTGAGAGAGTAATGGGAATTTCAACAAACAATACTGTCGTTGAGTAAAATGGGCGCGATACTGTGTGTTCCAATGCAACCAGTGGCGTGGAAAGGGGAGTGGAGATGGCGGTCCACCCCGGGTGGCTCTGTTATCTTCATGAGAGGCGGCATTTTTGACCAAATGCAAATGTATATTCCTGGAACGGGCGAGAAATTTCTTGTGCCACCCCCGGCGACACTAACCATAGCTACGCCACTGAATCCAACAGCATTCTTCTGCCGAATTCCCCATTGTATGTCATTACAACGCCGGGAACACTTGGCTTGTGGGACTTACACTGAATTTTTTTTTTGTTGTCTTTTGATTAGTGTTCCATAATATAACTTCTTAGCTCACATCTCTCACACAAATATTAATTAGAAATTATTGAATTACTTCATGTGAATACTAGAGTTTCTGACAAAACCTTCATTCAAATAACGCACTTTATAGTTATTTTTTGCATGCCCATTGAGCACAACGTTACAGCCATAGATATGTATATACATATGTAGAGAATTATTATTTGTGGTTTGATAACAATCACCCCCCTATGCCCCCCAATTGCCTACATCTACCAACAGAAATTATTTCACCACACTGCCTACATCTACTAATTAAAATCATTTCCTCACACTGCCTACATCTACCAATAGAAGTCATTTCACGACACATGTCAAATAACGAGCATATTTTACAAAAATAACAATAAAATGTTTCCTCTGATAGTGAAATACTTTATTTCTGAATCATCCAATGAACAGCGCTTGTAGTTTCAGAAATCAATCACATCATGGCATTGCATAAAATAATCAAACATCATTCAATCCCATAAATAATGAAGGTATTATTTATTTTTAAATAGAGCGCAGCAACATATATGTACATCATGATGACAAGAACTCTTTTGACAGCAACAGATGGCATGAGATGACATAATGCTTTGAAGAGAATAAAACATTATTTAACAACATTATGTAACATTGAAACACAACCCATACCAAGAATTTGGAAAAGGGGACACCATTCATTTTGAAAATTTGTCAAGTCATTAATCTAATTTTTTAAAGTTTCATTTTTTGACAGAATGAGGATGATTTTTCAAGCCATAAATTTCACCCTTTTGTAATGTAATTTTGAGATTTCTAATGGACAGAATCATAAAAACAGTTCCATGATCTTTACAGATTAAAATGTCTAGAATTAAGATTAGTCAGATTAAGCCATATATGGAATTTCATCTCTCCTAGAAGTAGGGAAATTAACTGAAAGTTATTTAGACAAAGTTCAAACACGCAGACTTTGTTCATGTCAAGTTTAATCAAAGACTTGACTTCAATAAAAAATAAGTTTCAAAATGAACTTCCCAATTCTTTTTTCACATTTTGGTATGGACAAATTTTAATCAGTTCCAAGTGCATGAAAGAGTGCACTAATGACGCATAAACAAATGCTACAGGAATATTTAATTATATAATAAAGCTCATTTTGTAATCAAAAGATTTCTTTCTGAACAGGCACCAAGAGGGGAAATAACTTATAGAGAGACAAGGAAGACAACTGTTTACCCTATATTAAAATGACATCCTCTTACATTTGTATAGCATGAGACATCACATGACTTTTAATTTCATTGAAGAAATGAACATTGACATATAATGGGTCATCTCACATGACTTGTTTTTTCAAAAACCATAAAAATATTTGGAGAAAAAAAATAAAATGATGAATCATTTTAAAAATTGTGTGACATGAATTTCCCTAGTATAAATATCCCTGACAAAAACAATATCAATAAATTTCAGAAACTGAAGAAAAAACACTAAAATGCAAAGTGTATGAGACATTTGCAGACATTCACAACCCAGAGATAAAAAGAATAACATAATTGTCTCTTCAGAAGAGCTTACTAACATTAACCACAAAGTAAATGCAAAAAAAAAAAAAAATGTATTTTGGCAAAATGAGGTGATAACCTATTTTCTATTGCTCAGGCAGGCTTTGTAAACCTGACTTATTAAATATTATGGCATATGTGCAGACACAATTGATCAATGATTAGACTGGATTGATTTCAGGAACTGAAAAAGCCAAAGTAAATTTACCAACTCTGTAAAAAAAAATTTAAAAAAAAAAAAATGCTCAACTGTGCAGTGATCACTGACAACATCTGTCATTATTTATTTACTTTGAAATTCTGAAATAATAGTTACATGAAAAGTACATAAATGAGGAGTTCTCAGAGAAATTTGACTGCCAGCAATAACTGTTGCAAATGTAAGGTGAGTTGTCAGGGTGGTCAACAGGTGAAGCCTAAGAGATTTGCCCACAGAACATTTGATGCTTACATATAAAATAAAGAGCTGTAAAAAAACAAAGACCAAAAATATCTCCAATTAAAACTGAACAAGTTGGTGAAAGGATCTTTTTTTAATTGTCAAATCAAATGAATGTATTCCCACAAAAAGAATGTTCAAATAGCCGTGGAAATATTTATACTAATGAAGTAAACCAGTTGTGCCCAAACTTTATATGTACAGGAATCCACCAATTGCACCATGTAGGCCTCTATGAACACCCCCCCCCCCTTCCACCCAGTCTTAATCCTCATAATCCCCAAAAATGGGTTGCAACTCTAAAAATGTACACACCACAAATATAGACTTTATACTGTGATATAATTTATTTTATATTCTACGTGTTGAACCAAATATCTTAAGAATAATATTAAAATGACTGCAATGATCTAAGAAGCAATAATCTGTTGACATCATGTAACAACAACTGGGACGACACTGACAACACATTTGGCTTGTGTCAGTAGCAACTGAGTTCAAAATATGAAATTTAAATTGTAGACATTGAGTTATGTCCCCCATTTTTCCACCTGAAGATTACACCTGGGCATTTACACAAATATTTATATTTTGATTAGAAAATTAATGTTCACAAAATATGTGCTTGCTTATTTGTTAAGAAATTATCGCATTTTAAAACAGAGGAAGAAGAGCAATAAACAATGAAACTTGGCTACATTGGCTGGACCATGCAAAGCTTTAACAGAAATTCAGATCTCTAACTAAAGCCAAACTACTATTGAATCTCATGAAGACAGTGGCAGGTAGTGAAAATATTACAGAGTGGAAAAACTTGGTCCCAAAAAAGGATTCTTTGTTTACATCCCTTTATAATTTTTATCTTTGTAATAAAGTCATCAGATTTCTTTAATAATAATTTTTTTATTTAAGTATTTTTCCAGTTGCAATCCATTGAATTCATGATTAAATTGATGAATTTAGCTGAACTACATCAAGAATATCAGATGAATTTTTTACATGAACTTGTTGGAGACACAGTAAAATGTCAATGCAACTTTGCATTTGGAATAAGCACCATCTAAGAGCATCCGAGAAGTAAGAACCGAACATTCAGCACCCATTCTTCTTTGTTTAAATTTAGCGACTGTAGCAGGTGGCTGACAAATACAGAGGAAATAAATGTTGAGGTGGTTTCAAGAGTATTAGTGATTGCCATTTTGTACACTGATTACATCTTATAGCTACCATAGACCCACTAATCGAAATACATGAGAGAGTTAGTGAAACTTACAGTTAATCCTGAGGAAAAATACATGAGAGATAGATATTCAAACTTACAATTAATTCTTGGGAAATACATGACCATACTAAAAGGGATGTCAGAAACCATGGTTTCAACTAAGTTCATGAAGGAATTCAGTTTATAGAGCAATGTGTTAGCACAAAAATAACAGAGGAAATAATTGTACGAGATAAACAATGGAATGGTAACAGTGATCATATTTTTTTTTTTAATTTTAAGTGTAAGTTCGTGCAAAGACTTGGCCAAAACTGTGCAGCTTGGCCAAAACTGTGCAGCTTGGCCAAAACTGTGCAGCTTGGCCAAAACTGTGCAGCTTGGTCAAGACTTGGTTTAGGGACCTTTCAGCTTTAATTATTGAAGGTCATTGAAATCTTTTACTAAGGTTTTTTAACAAAAAAACTAACAGTGCCATGGGCATGATCCAATAGTTCATTGCCAACTGAAGGGTCATTAAGTAGCATAGCACTGAGGTGGACTTAGTTTTGCACAAAACAAAGTTATATTGCATCAAATTTATTTTGCACACAATGGGTATGTTCAGGACAAATAACAAAAATTTAGTGTTCCATTGACATCAAACTTTCCCAATAAAGTATAATATGTTGGATATTATGATTCTTCTTTGACTAAAGAACAGGACAACACAAAAGACAGGAGAGCACGCAGCTCAAGTGGTTCCAATATCTGGTCCTTAGACACCAAACACCACATGAAGAATGTCATAAATAAATTCAAAAATTAATAAGGTACTTAATTTTGTTCAGCAGTCTCAGTGTGGGTTAAAATCTTTTCTTCCCTCTTCAGAGAACTACACAAAGGGTTATTGTCCTATTAGTCCTCATTTAGTGATATTACATATATCAATCAAGTTTCCTTTCAACTTTTACAAATATACTTTTAGGATAGGTCCAGACTTAGGCACAGCACCTGACTTGTTAAAATCACAAACTAATCAAAGGGGATAGAAATCAACTATATCCTTTGTAAACTTGATTTGCTAACAAATTAATTGATCCTTATCTTACTTTCAGATGAGCATATTTCAGATGAATAAGGCTTCTCAGAACAGTTGAAAAGATTGCATAAAAAACTGATGGCAATAAATCGAACGCTACACTTGATTTTCTTAAAAAACATCATTCCCCCTCACATGAATGCAACATCACCAAAAGAACAAAAGATATCACATTGTAGCAATCAAACGGTGAGATGGGCAATTCAACAGTTCCTCGTCTCTGGACAAAAAGAATGAATGCTTGGTGACCGCTTAGACAAACTGCAGTACAAAGATTTGATAACACGTAGGAGTCAATATACCAATTTAATGATTAATTAATTAATTTAATGAGTGATTAATTTTCCAGCAAACACTTGCAATTTCAAACAGGACAAGTCTGTCATCCTTTTTGTACTGTTGGCACATGTCTAAATAAAAAATTAAGTCTATAAATAATTCAATGCACACTTACAATAAAACTAATAAAAGAATCATTTATAACCCTTTATTCCCCAAGATAAATAGTAACTCTGAACTGATGAACAAAATAATGGAAGGTTACTTGCACTTTAAGAGAACAATGATAATAATTCCTGCATCATTTCTTTGAGTGTGTTTTTATTGCATACGTTCTGACAAGAGATCAACAGAAATATCCAATTTGTTACATTGAAATGACCTTACTTTGTGTTGCATGTTACAGACTTATCTCTTAAGGCTTCTGTGATTAAATTTTCTCTAGTTTTTAATTTTAAGTTGGATTAAAGGTTTTAAGTTTTTTTTTTAAAGTAATGGACGAATAATTTATTTTAAAATGTTAAAAAATTTGTTTAAGGAACACATAACTCAGTTTTGGCCTGAACACAGCATCTAATCCCTAAATGACACTAAATGAAACATTTTATTAAAAACCCCAATGCATACATAAGCAACAAAATTATTTAAAAGTACAAATATAAATAGATTTATCAATTGGCATTTTTTTAATTTTTTTTTTATATTTGTAAGTGGGAAGTTGTTAAAAAAAAAAAAACATAACATAATGAAAAATGAAAAAATTAATGTTAATAAAAATAATGGAGTTAAATTTAATGATTTAACATTTAACAAATAAAAATTGTTTCCAGCTAACAACAAATCTGATAATAAATACTGTTGTTTTTATGGTGAGGAGGAAAAGGAGGAACATTAATTTGACACACACACAAAAACATCGGTATCATTTCTATACATAAAGAATGCAATAAGCCAGGCAGTCCTAACAATAGATTTTTATCTCAACTGCAAACCTAGCAAACATTCATTTTTTGGTTTGTGAAGAGTAACAGATGTTAGCTTACAGAGCATATTCCTATTATTCTTTCAAGAAATATTTGAAGCTGGTCATTGGAAGATTGTGCAATACATTTGTTGTGTTTACTTTACCTTTCCCGTCAAATGCCCAACCCCCAGAGTCCAAGAATATGAAAGACACTATGTCAGAATCTTGGAGCCATCATCCATGACAACACTCGACTGCTTGTTGCCCAACGCATGACTTCTAGACCCATTGACATGGACGCCCGTCCCAGAGGACGCACCGCCAGCCATCAGTTGAGGGGTATCCACCTTAGAATTGGCCTCCGACTTCAGGTCCTGGAGCGAGCTGGAGGTCATGCTGTTCTCCATGGACAGGGAGGTTGGCACAGGAAGGAGGCCCAGGATTTCCTTAACCACCTTGGGAAGCTTTTTGTACTCTTTCAGTTGCAGGAAAATCCCCTCAGCTTTACGGAGAGTGTCCTCAAGGGGTATGGACAGGCTGATGTCATTGATATGCTGCAAGGATAAACCACATCAGTGAATGCTTTTGAAATAATTATGCTTTAAGAAACCCCATGCACCAATCTCACAAGATAAACCTCTTTGGCATGATGTGCACAAGATAAACCTCTTTGGCATGATGTGCACAAGATAAACCTCTTTGGCATGATGTGCACAAGATAAACCTCTTTGGCATGATGTGCACAAGATAAACCTCTTTGGCATGATGTGCACAAGATAAACCTCTTTGGCATGATGTGCACAAGATAAACCTCTTTGGCATGATGTGCACAAGATAAACCTCTTTGGCATGATGTGCACAAGATAAACCTCTTTGGCATGATGTGCACAAGATAAACCTCTTTGGCATGATGTGCACAAGATAAACCTCTTTGGCATGATGTGCACAAGATAAACCTCTTTGGCATGATGTGCACAAGATAAACCTCTTTGGCATGATGTGCACAAGATAAACCTCTTTGGCATGATGTGCACAAGATAAACCTCTTTGGCATGATGTGCACAAGATAAACCTCTTTGGCATGATGTGCACAAGATAAACCTCTTTGGCATGATGTGCACAAGATAAACCTCTTTGGCATGATGTGCACAAGATAAACCTCTTTGGCATGATGTGCACAAGATAAACCTCTTTGGCATGATGTGCACAAGATAAACCTCTTTGGCATGATGTGCACAAGATAAACCTCTTTGGCATGATGTGCACAAGATAAACCTCTTTGGCATGATGTGCACAAGATAAACCTCTTTGGCATGATGTGCACAAGATAAACCTCTTTGGCATGATGTGCACAAGATAAACCTCTTTGGCATGATGTGCACAAGATAAACCTCTTTGGCATGATGTGCACAAGATAAACCTCTTTGGCATGATGTGCACAAGATAAACCTCTTTGGCATGATGTGCACAAGATAAACCTCTTTGGCATGATGTGCACAAGATAAACCTCTTTGGCATGATGTGCACAAGATAAACCTCTTTGGCATGATGTGCACAAGATAAACCTCTTTGGCATGATGTGCACAAGATAAACCTCTTTGGCATGATGTGCTCCCTCCTGATCGTCAGGATTTTTATTTGTGTTGATAAAAGTCTCAATTTGGTACAACCAAATATATGTTTTCTCAGAATTGGGTGACTGGCTTTAAATTGCTTATAATTAAGGTGGCATGTTCTTTTTATCGCTGTTCGCAAATCAACTAGTGTCTTATCCTAACACAACTAGTGTTTCATCCTAACACAACTGGTGACTCATCCTATCACATCTAGTGTCTCACCCTAATACAACTATTGTCTCATCCTAACACAACTAGTGTCTTATCCTAGCACATCTAGTGTCTTATCCTAACACAACTAGTGTCTTATCCTAACACAACTAGTGTTTCATCCTAACACAACTGGTGACTCATCCTATCACATCTAGTGTCTCACCCTAATACAACTATTGTCTCATCCTAACACAACTAGTGTCTTATCCTAGCACATCTAGTGTCTTATCCTAACACAACTAGTGTCTTATCATAACACAACTAGTGTTTTATCCTGAGACTCCAGTGAAAAAAAATTTAAAGCATGCTAAATAACATAAGTTGTATAATTTAAAAAATAAACCACCATATCATTCCGCACTCCTATACTTTTAATTTTAAGATGAAGTGAGGAAAGATTTGATCTATTTAACATGAAGTGAGAAAAGATTTGGTCTATTCATAAAACAACTACTCAAGGGCAAAGTATATTTAAGCCAGGAGATACCTTAAGAATTTCTGTAAAACCAAATTTGTTTTCCATTAAAGTGGACTTTTCATTGTCAAGGATGGCTAATGAAATAACCAGGTGGAAGTTGTTACATGGGCGGTCAGTCCATAGTACCTGCAGATAAAAATGGCCAGTTCAATACTCGTTTCTTGAGGATTTTCATTTTTAAGTTGCAATATAATATGTGGACCAATTTTGGGGCGATAAAATAAAACAAATTGTTTAATTAATTAATAACAAATAATAGAAATGTTTTTACAAAATAGCAATTGCCATCAATTTCTGAGTCATTTGAGAATTAATTACAAGTTTTTGACATATTTCCAATCCCTGACATGCTTTTTTAATCAATCTGGTTATAAGTTCGAAATATTTAAACTCAACTGTACTTTTAGGAATACAAACTTTACAAAAGGAGAATACAGAAGAAATTATTATTCCCAGAGCAACAAGTTGACTGTGTTTCATTAGTTATATTACGAGGGAGTATCAGAGGCATACACTCAGATTTTTTTTTACCTCCCAAAGTCTTTGGATTTCATGGAAGTGGAACTCTCTTTTAAAATGAATCAAGATCCAACGGAAGCAGAAATAGAAATTACCAGACTCACGGCTCTCTGTAAAAAAAAATAACAACATAATATTGTATATTTCTGGCATAACAAATTAGTTCAAACAAAACCCTAATCCCTGTTCCCTTTCCCACAATGCTGGACTAAAGTAAATGGGTAGGTAAACAATGCATACAATGAAAATCTCTTACAATCCATTGATTAGAAATATGTGACAAGGATATTTGGTAGTTTAATGCAGCTTAACTGTGAGCTTTCTGTTTGTAGAATTCTTGCATTTCACACACTGAGGACAGGAGTATTAGGACAGAGAGAATTCATCAAACAATTTCTGGAAAGCGCACATTGTATTTAATTATTGAAGAGTAGATGATCTGCACATTTACCTAGGTAAGCACAGAGCTCTGGATCATAAACCTGCATCAACTTGTGGATCTGGCTTAGCTGTACTTTCATGCCATTCTGATCCATCTCAAAATTGTGGCACTGAAATCAAAACACAAAAATTACATAAAAACAAAACAAAAGGTCAAATGATCCACAATTAAAATTAAAGGCAGAGCATCAAATCAGGGAAATAGATTCAAACTGATCTATTCCAAAGATTGAGTTAAAAACCCAACAGAAACTTGCAATCACATACAAAAGTTATTATTTTACAATAGTGTGATTTGATAGTTAAAAGAAAATTGATCATGTCTTTAAATTTTTGCCCATTGTTTGCTGAAAAATTGGCTGTGACAAATAGCAACTACAAGCTACGTTTTGGTAATGCGGCAATCTGATCCCTATTTTAATGCAATTATAAATTTATACAATACTACTCAAATTAGAATAAAATTATGAGTTACTGAAACATGTTAGAATAATTTATTAGCTGAATCATAACGAAAGGTATGTATAAATATGAATATGAGTATTTTAAGAAAATGTGGCCACTTTTATAACCACCCATTTCCCATGACCGTCAAAGAATTAATAGTTGAGTTATTTGTTAAATAGTTGTTTTATTTGTTTATCCATTTATTGCTTGTTTTCCACTCATTCTAAAAATCTAAGTAATTTAAGTTTTTGATTTTGAATTCATTTTCCAGTTTCTGAGTGTAATGGAATGTTATTAGTGAAGTACACAAAGAAACAACAAAATGGTGGTGCCATGTAAACATGGCTACAGACCTGCTTACCCTGGAACACTTAATATCATTCTATATAGACTAAAAAGCTTACAATACAGTTTCTTAATAGTTAAAAAATGAACGTACAGCATATATGATCTTTGCAATAACTATTCTCATAGCGTGCTGAATGGGATCGAGTTAAACTGGCATAAAAAAAATGTAACTTCCCAAAGCAGATGACTGACATTTATATTGCAATATGTCATCCCTTTGTTTTGCAGACATGAATCTGCTGCAATTATCAATTAACATTTGGGTGAATGTGCAGATCCCATTATCACAGTTTGTCACTGGTAGAGAAAAAGTTACCGGTGAAATTTAACATGGTTCATACTCAAAGTCAGTTCAGCATAAAATAAAATTTATTGAAATTAGAATTTATTAAGAAATGAGTCGTTTACAAAACCTACAAAGTAATTTGAGATTTATTATTTTATGAAACTTGAGCTCTAAAAATAGATTTGGTATGCCTTCTCAGATCCTATGAAATATGTCAAAATCTAATGCTGCTGTGCGGAACAATTGAGAATGCATTCTCATGTTGTTTTTTTTAGCTAGTTTTCTCTGTTTTTGCCCTTGTTGCGTTTCAGCCAAACAAAATAATTATGTCCCAAAATTAAGTCACCACTGAAGCAAACAATAGTTAGGATTAACTAAAATTGTCACTAGGACGACTACCCTAATATTACTGATGCCGTGTTTAGCGAGTTTATTATGAAAACACAAAGCAACCACAAGAGCATTCAACCCCATCATGACAAAAATAGGGTAGTGTTAATTTTATGGACTTAATATTTAGAACCCCCATGCACACACATCTGTACACACACACACACATCTGTACACAAAATCTGCTAAATCAACACCACTCTCTTCCCCTCTAAGGGCAAACATAATACAATCATAGATGGTCCCCAAACTATCATATTTTTCATCCCTTCCCCGCTGGAGCAAAAACCAAAATTGTACTTTATATATTTTTTATTATTGAAAAAACTACCAGTATTATATATTTTCAACCGGATCTCTTAAAATGGTAGTTCTGAAAGGTCTTTTTTGAACTCAAAATAGTACATTGTATGCCAAAATCATAAGAGTAAACAGGTCTGTGGCTAAGAAACACGAAAAGTTCATACAAAACTATGTCTGTCTAAAATATCATATCTTTTTTACTCCGGAACTAACATGTTTAAAAAATATATATATTAAATAAAAGATCTAAGAGATGATATCTGTGCTATCTAAATGAACTTAAACTGAAGTCTTATACTGACCACACGTTCCATGGCACCAGCAAAGCACCAGAAAGCATCAACCTCATTTTCCATCACGACCAGGATTGGGGACAGGATGTCACTCATTCCCTGAACATAACCTGGGACATCAGATTAACACATTGTGAGATAGTTTCAAAATAGAATCGAGATACTTCTTAACTCTTTCTTTTTATATATTTTTAATATTTTTTACAATGTTAATGTACTGTTGAATGTATAGCTATAAATGGTTTAGTTTCAAAAATTTTTGTGATATCAAAATTATGCACGAAAAATCATCACTTTAAAACTTGGAATATAGCAAGACATCCAGTGTTAGATCATTTGGGTTTTTTGAATGGTTGGTAATAGGAAAATGAGGGGGGCCTGACCTTGTTGCATGATAAGGCTTTGTATTTACTTAAATAAATCCTATATATCGAAGACCATGTAACCACATATTTACCAAGATCAAAGTTGTACATGCAATAGGTCATCAAAATATCATAGAGAACCTGGAGGTTGGAATTCTTATCACCAGTGAAAAACTTGTGGGTTCTGTCTGTCCTCGTGACATCCTTGTCTGCAAATTTAAGCATGCAGTAATGAAAGTTACATACACGCTATCTAAATGACATGAAAAATTTTGAGAAGAATATTGCATACAATAGAATTTCAAGTATTCTTCTAATATCTTTTTTTTGATACTATTGATATTAATCAGTGTGTATAACTAAAAACTTTTTTTTCTTCTAATAATTAAAATTATTTAACTGGTAAAAAATACATTAAAATCAATTCTGAACCTAGCCATCATAGATAAGAATATATTTTACCGATGAGACCACGTCTTTCCTTTAATAATGTAAACCTCCTCTCCTGCTCCGAACTAACCGTTTTCCACTGCAGCTTCATGCGGAAATAGTCATCTCTGAAACAAAAAGAATCAGTCTTATAAATGAACTGCTTGCCACTCATAGTTAAAATAAGTATTGATAACAAACTGGGACATTTGTAAGTTACATGTAGCCCCTACTTAAATATTACAATGAAATACATAGTGGTTTAACTCAATTGTGATGTTGACCAAAAGAAACCTGTATGGCAACTTTTTTGTAAGAGACACTAAATTTTTTAAATTAAGACCAAATAGCTTAAACCATCTTGTGTCCATAATTAAAATTGTTTACACCCTCCCTGCTTTGAGTAACCTTAAATCAGGAACATTTTTAGATAAAAATGTATTTTTAAGATACCAGCCATGACAGCCAAACAAAAGAAGCAGTTTCTAGAAATTTCATATACAGCAAAACAAACCAAAAATATTAGAGCACACATCAGATGTACAAAAATATGTGTTTAAATGCCACAGTTCCATCAAGAAGAAGAAATTGAGCTAAACCAGGCTGAACTTTACACTTACACTTTTCTCTTCCTGTGATCGGCCCGCTTCTTGGCCGTGGAATCCCAGTCATAGTAGCCAAGTAGGAACTTCCACACATCCGACCTGATGGATGGGTCAACTCCCTACATGTGTATATGATAATATTGAGCGGGATCATTTTTTGTTTACAAGTTGTTATAAATTGTTCACTCCCAGATTATTATATTAAACCACCTTTTGTTTTAATATTAAAATATAGTTTACTGTTCATTTACATTTTTTTTAAATAAAAATGTACGGGTAATTAAAAGCACAGTAAAAGATAAACTAATTTTTACAGTTCAACAAATGTATGGAATGGAAGATGCATACAATGAATTTTGATACCAGTACAGCAATGTTTGTCTATAAAGTACTTTACTTACACCTCTAAATATGATGTCCTTGAGTTCAACCACCTGTTGAATACATCCTTCTGCATCAAAGAAAGAGTTCCATCTTTGTGCAGTGAGAGGGTCAGATCTTTTCACTTCTGGCCGTGGTGGTAGCTTCGTCTATGTTAGATAATGGTGAAACACAAAATGATTTCTTTGAGAATCTCAAGACACAGATTATTTCATATAATCAGAAATAAACTACACTTGCAAAAAATATGACTGAAGAAATACTAGTATTTTTTATGTTTTTCTTACTTAAATTTTATGCTATATTCCTAGAAACACAAAAGTACTGCACATTGGGTTTGGGGAATATTGTAAAATTAGACACGCTGAATATGAGACTTTTCAATATTAGGTCTTACTTTAGTGACCATCTCGAACCCTGGCTCGTCCATGTGAGAAATTTCCATCCCTGGGATATCATCGTGCAGCAGCTCGGCCACCTCAGACTGGGGTCTGACAAGGTTATTGTTGTCAGGAGTCATGAGCACATCACGCAAGAAATTGGTCACTTTGGAGAATCCCCCCATAGTTGTTGTGTACGGGTCTTTCATAAATTTCTGTTTCAAAATTAACAAAATTTTTGGTCCTTAGGAATGAATACATATTATGTTTTTTAAATCACTCAACATAATTATTTTGAGGGACAATTGACCAAAAAAAATAACTGAAAAGTGCTAATTTTTGTTTGTATTGATAAATCTTAAGCCAGAACCACATAATCTCAAGCACATACTAATGGGGAAAGGCAATGTTACCCAAAGCCATCAAGAAAAATTTTTTAGAAATAGGCAAAGATATTGTAGCATTGTAATTATTTTACAATTTTTAATGCAAGCTGTTTTCTGAAAAGATAACTGAGAAAAGCAAGAATGAAAAGATTTGTGTAAAAAAAGCAGGCTAGAACAATTATCAAGCAGGGTCGGTACAAGAATAGTATTTTCTGATGTGTAAATGATCGTTACTATATGTCTCTTATTTTCAGAGGCAATAACAGGCAAAAATTTAGAAAAATGCAAACTCAAAGGGCCTGAATGAAACTGAGTTCAATTATCACAATTTTCAAGCTTATTTAATCATGATTATCATTCAATTGAGAAAGAATTTTTCTCAAAATGGGTTTTAAGCAAACACATATGCACACAAATAAAGTCACTTTTTCTTTAATTTGTTTAAAATTAATTTTCATGTAAGACAATGATTTGAAAATAATAAATTATTTTTTTTTTAAATAATAATTTCAAGATTTTATCAGTTTATTGTATAGATGCTGCAATTAGGATGAGATTGGAAGCATGGTAAAGAAACTATGGAATTTAAGGAATATTTTGTTGTATACTTCAGACTCATGTTCATTATGTGTAACAGGATGATTTCGCAACAAAGACAAAATGAAAATTATACAACAACAACAAAAATCCCTTGCCTTATGCATGCCTTTGTTAGGATCTCTGACGAATTTCTGAGAACAAAAGGTTAATTGGATTTATGGAGTCCCACAAATGTTTCACTTTATTTTCTCCGGATTGACTATTATATTTAAAAATGATTACTGCATGCCAATTTCGTCATAATAAACCTCCTCAAAGCATCAAAGAAAATATTTGATGAATAATCTTACACACAGACAAAAATTAATTTTAAGCTTAAAAAAAACTTAACAACTAACTATTCTAGCATTATTTTGGAGAAAAGCTCCAATTATTATATTAACTCTCTTGGATATCATACTCATTTGAACACTTCTTAATAGACAAGATAAATTTTCTATGTTCTCGACGTTAGAAGTCAAGGATAATATTTATAGTTCATTTAACCAACTGATGTATAATAAACAATGGGAAAAGACTCAGTTATAATTTAATTCACATCATTGCAACCAACTTAAACAACTAAAAATTCATATATAGATCTAGTTGATATTGTAAGAGAGAGAACAATTATTTTTTTTGGAGTGAATACAAAACTATTCTAGGTTTTAGATATGACTCAGCTCAGGTGTTTAAAATTAATGCTCATTAATTAGGTAATATTTTTGTTATCCTAATAGAAAAAATAATTTTTCTAAAGTAATCCTTTATGTAATGGCAGAAAGACTGCAAAAAGGCCAAGCTAATGCAAAAGAAGTAACCTAATAACATATTATTTTATACTGAGGAGTAGAATTTTATCCACCAATCCTCTTCTTTATTAATCCTTAATATTTCCCACTATATGTTATAAATAAACACACAAAAACCAGATAATTTGTAAGATTTAGAAAAAGCCCTATGACAACAGTGCATGCCATCAGACTATTTTTGAAAAAACATAGTTCTTTATTAATCAACAAAACTTTCAAACAAATAAAACGGACAGGAGAGAATAAAATGATAAATGGGTCAATTCAAAAAGCTCTATATTATGCATCTACAGGATATATATTGGGAACTTAAGCTGAAAATCTAAAAATAAACATCTGAAAATGGTATAAAAACCAGGGCTGCAGATTTGGAAACATTGTCATGTAGGTCTAACTTGTTACTGCTGACTTATGGCCACTGGTGAGATTCTAGCAAATAAGGTTTATTACGAGCACCCTGAGTCTCAGCCTGAAGGTGTTTTGAATTCCACATTTAGAACAAAGTAAACTCAATGGGCCTGAATGAAACTGATGATTTCCATTATCAGGTTTTACACGATTATCTAATCATGATTATTATTCAATTATAATTGATCATTTGCAATGGATAGCTGAGAGGCATTTTACTGTCACTACTATCAATATGTTCTGGTTCATTAAAAACCATGCCATGCCAAGCTCTTTCACTTTCCCAATTTTCCACACTTTCAAAGAGTTTACAAAGATTTCATTGAAATTAACTATACAAACACAAAGAAAAAAGTTAAAATCCATGAACATGTTTATGATTGTAAATAGACATATTTATGTTTGTAAGCTAAGCATATTTATTGCTGAGAAAGAGCCATGCATGATCCAAAAAATTAAAGAGTCTGGAAGGGACAGCCAAAAATTTTGCTTAAGGATTACAAAATAATCCATTTTGCCTTTTTCATTTTATTAAAACTGTTATTGTATCACCGAACTAAACTCCCAGACATAAACACAAAACTGGCTCTCATAGTTCCCAATCATATATTTTTTCAAACCATTTTTTTTAAAATTATTCTTTACAACAACACTAATTGCCTTGAAATCTTACACAAACATATATATATATATATATACAAGTTCAAATTAACTATTGCTTTGACTAAAAACCAAAATAAATATAGCAACAAAACATAACCCTGTTCGTAAAATCTCTGATACCAGTAAAGAGCAGATACAGTGGTGTTTTACACCAAAAAAGCATGTATTAATTTTAACACATCTACTGACATTATCTCAAATTATTTTTTATAGAATTATAAATCCAATTAGCCATTATGTTTATTTGAAAAAAAGATCTAACATTTGTAAGATCTTGTGGAGTAAGGGTTTAAAAAGGTTCTAATGAGCAGCAATGATCAAAACAATGTTATTTAATTAAGCCTGCTGATGCAATGGTGCATCATACTCCTCTTTGTTAAAAATTAGTTTCATTGTGAAATAGTGTGTTGTCTAAGACCAAAAGCATCCAAGTGCTCAATGCCAAAACTTACTTGCACATAAGCTCCAGAGGAATCTGAGAAGAGGGACAACTCATTAAAAGATTTGGATAACATCTCTGGGTCGTCATCTTGCACTAAAAATAGCCGCTGGTCGTTCGGCGACCTGCCGAATTTTTTACAACAGAGAACCCAACGTAAGTGAATAGTATAATAGTAATATATTAAATTTATCAACTTCTAAAATGGTAAAGGCACTGCACAGATAATTGTTAATGGTATCACTACTTTAGCCTAAATAAGAAAATATTAAATAGAGAATGATATTTATTTACTTTATAATCTTTCAATTTATTTAAGAATTAAATGAAAGCAAATTACAAAGATTGAAGACCATTTTTCCTTTAAATTTCCTTTTTTTTAAAGTTTCTCTACCCTTAATTTATTTTACTTAGCTAACTAGAACTGAATAGAAAATCAAATGAAAAATTCCAACTTCTAAATGTTTGTATTACATTTTTATTGTAAAACAAGAACCCACCTCCTGATAGTTATGAAATTCTCCAGCTCTTTGAGTAAGGCTTTGCTTCCCCCATTATGAAAATGAAGGGCTGGGAATGTTGTTCCATCTTTGAGTATAAAAATAATGTAAGCCCAGCCATGGTTTGGGGCACTACGCTTGAAGCTTTTTAAATCCAGAACATCAAAGCTGATGTTGTATTTTCTTCTTGAATCCATTTTTGCATTCATTGATACTGAAAGAAGAAGATGTATTTGAAAATAAAAAGGATGTGCAATTTGCACTCCAAGAAATAATGTATTTAAAAAAAGTTACTTAAATGTTACGCATGAGTTAGCCTATGTACTTTAAAATGATAGAGGTGAGATTAACATACAAGAATTAGATGGAATTTTATGTGAGGTCATTATTTTTTTTATAATTTGAGTAATTTAAAACTTAGGCACCAGCCACTATTTTCCTTACCACATTCAGAACCTTCATTTCTGTAACCAACATTGCCAATAACATCCCACTCTTCATTCTGGGACTCCAAATTTAGAAACTCCTCTGCCTTCCATTCGATAAAATTTCCTTCAGCCTTATAATAAAATAAAATGATTATAAGAAAGTCTAATTAATTTATTTGGAATAAATATTTCAATCTTACAACTAAAAAAAAAATGTGCAAGAAATTAAACTTCATTAAAAAAAACAACTAAATTTATTTTAATAAAATAAAACTTAAAAGGAGTTCTGGCTCTTTTGGGCACTCCATAGAAAGTAAAGCTTTAAGCTATTTACAGATTAAAGTAATCATATTATCTGAATACCTTATGTAGCAAAAACACTCTGCCTGCAATATGAGCATCCTTGTCCTTGGTGTCTTGGACATTAATGTGAATGTAAACACTGTCTTTTGCAAACAACACCTGATGGAAATGTATCATATAAAACAATTTAGATAATCTTCATTAACTTCATTCATTGTTTTGTGGGTGGTTATGTAAAACAATTTTTTCTTGTAAAATGCTAAAGCTGGAAAAAAAAATTTAACTTAATAATTTTTTTTCTTTCAATAAGAACTTTCCATAACCACAGCAGTCATTGCCATGAAACAATGATATTTCATTATAGACAAATGATTAAAATAAAGTCTTTAACATTGAATCAATATAATAAAATCAGGAAATTGAATTTTACACATATTTTGTTTTTATATATATATTCAATGATGGTCATTTTTTTAAAAAATAATCCATGGTCAGGAATAAAAGATGACGGTTGGGAAAAAATGAACTTATTGCTGGTTTTTATTTAAATCGACATTTACACTTTTTCTTGTTGTATCACAATCATCAGCATAAAAAAAATTATAGGATCTTGGAAAAAAATGTGATAAGTGGATCAAAAGTGTTAAAAAGGCTCCATAGATTTATTAATTTTCATTGAAGAAAGATCTAATATTTTCAAATTCAAAACAGAATTAGGTTACTTTTGATTAATCACAAATTATATATAAATTTGCCTGTTTGTTAAGATTTGTTATTGTTAATCATGAGATTTAAAAAGCAGTAAACCTTTCAAAGGGGAAACCAGAAATGACACTAAATTAATTTTAGATCTATACATTTTTTCTACAAAACAGTATTTGTTTCTGGTTTATATATAGAACAATTGTTCCAATTCTCAATTGATGCAAAAAGTTAATTGTATACAGACTTTTTTATCTGTATATACAAATGTAGAACATAGACAGACTTTTAGTAAAATGAACAAAACACTGATCAGCAAGGAAAGACATAAAATGCCATTAGGAACATTAATTCAATTGTATGGTGACAGGCATTGAAGGACCTGATATATCTACTACTGGATTTTAATAGAGAGAGAAATAGATTTGTTTCCAAACCTCAATGATTAAGATTTCTTTGAAAAATATATATCTCCTTAGAAGAATTGGGTTGATGTTAATTTTGTTTCATTTTCATTCTATACTTTTCTTTTAACTTGGTAAGTTGGTATATAAAGTGAAAGTTGGGCTAAAGAGATGCATGGGCAAAACTTGGCAACCGCCCCAGCTAAGGGCACAAAAAGCTATCTGTCTAAATGAATGTAGTTAAAGTTTTAGTAGGATGGGGAAACACAGGGCTCACAGTTTATAAGATAAGAATCTTTATTGATCCAAATAAATGGAGATGTTTTTATTACATAGTACATATTCATTTTCAGCACATAAATAAATATGTAATTAAACCAAGACAACATTTTTAAATTATAACAATTTAAACACAAGACATCTTAAGTATTTCCATTTCCAGTGTTAAATGAACTCCTTTAGTGACAAAAATGACTTAATTAGTTGTCATTTAGATTTGGTAACCACTGGGGGAGAACCACAGTACTGTAGTAGGACTGTTTTGACATTTGTATTCTTCTATGTATAATATATATAGTCTATAGTATATAGTGTACTGGTTAATATCAATAGTAAATAGTGATCAGTGGAACTGGAAGTGTTTAAAACAAAACCACAACCGTGAAAACATGGAATATGCTTCGTTTTTTTTTTCGTTTTTTTTTATTAACTCATGGATCTCTGTCTTAGATATTTTTTTTCAAAACATTGGCATTCTAATTCTAATAATAACAATTCTAATAACAATCTGATTCAGTCACACACAAATTGAGATTATTATCCATTTGCTAGAATTTAGCTATCGCAAATATTACTAGATTTTGATTTATTTTTATATTTGTCTAGTCTTGAGTGACTGAGTAAACTGAGTTTTGTTTAAGTTTCAGATATAATAAATTATCATTGATCATTGAATCTCACGAATGTCGAATAATTCATTTCATTTCATCATTTCATTTTCTTCATTTGACGATTGTACATTCTCACCAATACGAAAAATTATTGAATCATTAAAAATATTCATAACGTACCTCATTTTGTGAAGCCATGACACAAATAACGGTTTCTGCTATTAGCAAAAGAATGAGTCAGTGGAATAGCTGTCATGAGCCACAATACAATGAGTATACCTCTTTACATACATGAATGGTGGTTCTATGTTATGATTGGAAATTACGTCCCGTTTCCGCTTTACCTTCCCTAAAAAAAAAAAAAATGCATACTATAATGAAAAACAAACTTATAAAAATTTAGGATAATTAAAGACTAAATTACAACTTTACTTATTTAGAAAATTATTATGCTTTCTAGATAAATATTTAAATTATCCTATAAAATATATTAGCTACGCAAAAGTTAATATTATTGATGTTATGATTTGTAAGCGGTGTTCTCGTGATCAGTGACGTATTCCACAGCCTTAAAGAGGAAGCACTTGATTGTGTAGTGAATTACCTCGTATCCTATTACTATTCGACTAATAACAATAAGATTGAATGAATTGGTGGCATAAATTAAATGACCATTTCTACAATACGACGATAAAGACTGAGAAATTCATGAATATATACACTGAACTTGGCTACAAATAGTGTGAGAATATCTGGGCAAAACAATGGCCTCAGTCGGTGGAGGAGCAACAGGAGGGGGCCGTAACTTGAATTTCAAAGTTGTGTTACTCGGAGAAGGATGTGTTGGCAAGACATCACTAGTTCTAAGATATGTTGAAAATAAGTTTAACGATAAGCATATTACAACATTACAGGTAATTGATACTTTTTATTTAAAAAATATATACAATATTAGTAAAATAGTGGACCATACTGGACATAGACTTAGACATTGACTGACATGAGTTCAACTGTCATCTTGCAACGCCACTTTTACTTCACTTTAATAATTTTATAACATGTATAAAATAGCCTAAGCAACAACCAAGCAGTCCTCTCGCTTAGTTAGTAGTTTTAGTTGACTTCACTCATTTAGTGTCTAGGCATAGTCAAGATTTAGATAATTTGACAGATTGTCTGTTTCATTGTGATGATAGCCTCTAAAAATAAAAACATCCTTAGTCCTTAGTCATAGTCATAGTCCATAAAAGATTCCCCCCCCCCCCATCCAATATTCATAAACAAATTTAATTAACCTAAAATAGATAATTTGACAGATTGTCTGTTTCATTGTGATGATAGCCTCTAAAAATAAAAACATCCTTAGTCCTTAGTCATAGTCATAGTCCATAAAAGATTCCCCCCCCCCCCATTAGAATTTCATAAATATATTTAATTGACCTAAAAATTTCAGGCATAACTAAAGTCTCTTGCAGAATTCTCAATTATGATTTGACTAACAATAAAAATACTAACATCACACTCAAATTTTAGGATCATTCTATGGCGACCATGGTAGCTTATTTTTTAAAATCCTCTAATTTAGAATATAATAATATTAATATTAATCATAAAAAATGTGTTTTTTGAAAATTTCTAAGTAATGCATTAGAATTAGATATGTACACAAGCCATGACAAGCTAACTACTGTTTTCACATTAAGACCAATAAGTAAATACTTAGAATTATAGATATATACATATTTTGTAATCACATTGAGACATTGTTTACATTATCATAGGATATAATTAAGCATTGCCAAGAAATAGTTACAAAGAAGACATTGTTTTATTTTTATTTTCTGCAGGCATCATTTTTGAACAAAAAATTAAATATTGGAGGAAAAAGAGTTAATCTTGCAATTTGGGTAAGTTGTTTTATTTTATTTTTTTTGGTGGAAATCTGAAAAGAGAAGAAGATTTTATTTTTATCTAAAATTCATTGTTTAAAAATGTTTACTATGTTATCATTGCTTTATGAATTTTTTAAAGATTACAGATGTCTATATAGTGTTATGCTCCAATTTTTTAGTGATTCATTAGCTGTGCATTAGTTATGTAAAGCTGACATTGCGTTATAAATAGTGTTGAAAATTATATATATATTCTCTAACTTTCACAATCTTTAACTACTTAAAGCAAAAAACAGATCAAATATTCCTGCATTAGAAGTGATAGGATTTTTTTTGCTTTGCATCTCTATAGGACACTGCCGGCCAAGAAAGATTTCATGCATTGGGTCCAATATACTATAGGGATAGTAATGGTGCTATATTAGTTTATGACATCACAGATGAAGATTCCTTCCAAAAGGTTTGTTACATGATTTTACTGGTACTTTTTTTTTCTCTGGCTCATGAATATCATTTTCACCTGAGTTGATAAATAAATATCACTTTACTGACACTTAATTTATGGTACTTAAATTCATAAAAAGATTAACTAAATTAACTGCATTATCTTTTAATTGGCAGGTTAAAAACTGGGTAAAAGAATTGAGAAGAATGCTAGGACAAGATGTATGTTTGTGTATTGCCGGAAACAAGACAGATTTAGAGAAAAATCGAAATGTTACTGTGGAAGAAGCTGAATCGTAAGTTAATAGTGTCTCTCTTGAATTTTCACCAAAATTTGGCAAGAAATTAATTCATTGAAAAATATATAAGTACTGTAACTGTAATTAAAAGGGAAGTGAGTTGCTCCATTAATGAGCATCAAATTTGTAAAATGAATGTGGATGCAAGCTAATTCATACAAAGAGAATGTTTTATTTTAAATTCTAATCATTTCTAAACAAAATGCTTTTCAGTTTGTGAGTTAGTCTATTGGATAGTTATGTTAGCTTTTAACATGCCTTAATTAGTTGTTTGTTTAAACAACATGTAAAAGAACATGTTATTTTTCCACAGATATGCTGCTTCTGTGGGTGCAAAACACTTTCACACATCTGCAAAAATGGGTCGTGGTATTGAGGAACTTTTTTTAGATTTAAGCAAAAGTAAGATTTTTTTTTATAGCAAAATCGGTGGTAATTAAAACATTGTATGTATGGATGGATTAGTGTATTGCATATCCGTGATGTAAGAATTCTTGGTGGCTTAAGTTAAAGAAGTGAGGCTTCTTTTTTTGACACGCTAACATTATACATTAATTTTCCTTAACCAATTTTCTTCTTTCTATTGAACTTTAAAGACATGATTGAGAAGTCTGAAGAAAGCGTAAGCAAAGGTCGACCAGGAAGCACGAACAGAAAAAGTCAAGTTTTAGTAGTTGATGATTCTACAGAACTACCAGCCCCTAAAAGTGGATGTTGCGGCTAGCAAATTCTTTTTTTCTTCTTCATGCCTTATGTATTGGTAAGAATAGAAAAGCGTGCATCAGTCATTTCATTGATGCTAAGAGAAGACAGTTTAATCGGCATAAACCCTGTGGGTCATACTATGTGATACTGTCATGTCCATGTTGATAATTACATAATTTTCTTCTGAATGAGAAATGTGCAAGTGATGTGCAAGATCTCACTCTTTAGTATGATGTGTCAAAACTTCTTTCAGTTCTGATCGTTATTTTTTCATGAGAAATTGAGTACTGTGTGGATTTTTAAAAACAATTTTATTTATAGAAATATTAGATATGCTGGTTGTGTGAATTGGTCCAGTGATCCTCAAATTTGTCTAAAAATATTTCTTTTAAACTGAATGTCATAAGTACTAGTACTACTTTAATTATAAGTAAATCACTAATTTTTACATTATAGGAATACTACCTGCTCCATTTGCCTCTCAAAAGACAAAATGTAAGGAATCATAATTTAAAAAAAATCTATGAACAATAAGAAAAACCATTATATGTCCTGCAAGTGCAATTATTACCTAAAAAAATGTTTGAAGAGTTCAAAAGGAATGTTTTATTTGAGATGTATGTGTATATGCTCTCTAACATCAGTCATAATTGAGTAGGGTAATTAAACAGAGAGATGACTCAAAAAAAAAATATTATTATTTTTTTCTGACAAGGCCTAACCATACAATCTCATAGTGAGAACTAATTGATTGTGTTAATTATAAATGCCATTTAATTGATGATGCTGTGAAATACAACTTGTTTATCATTTAAAAATTTTGAAATGGTTTCCCTTATAATTTTGTCATATGTTTGAGACATGGCTTAAACTTGTACTAATGTTGTTTTATTTATTTTTTTGGTATTGTAACAAGAGTATATCTTCCTAGAACTCAGTGCTTTCCTGTCTCTCTTCTCTAATCTACAACATTCAGTTCTATGACTCTCTGATTACCCAGGTCATTTATGTCATGCCTAGGTAGGATGCTTTTCTCTTTGTTTATTTATACATGGAAGCTATTCTTTGAGATTTGTGCTTTGTTGTTTATTTTTAAATGCAAGCACCATCATTTTTTTTTTCCATTATATTTCATCTTGTTATTGTGTCGCACCTTTATTGTTGACTTCTACAAAACCCTTGCCTTACGTAAGAACTATTGACTATTTGCCGATATCAATATGAATAGTAAGAGAAACACTAACAATTGAATGATCCCAAATTTTTAATACATTTTAATTTTATGCTCCTCATGGATTTCTTGTTTTTTTTTTTTTTTTTTTTTTTTTTTTAAGATATGCGAAGAACATTTTTCTTTTGTTTTTTACAAATTTATTTTTGTTCTGTGAGATTATTTATTAAATTAAATTTTCTTTGAAAATTCAAAGATTTTTAATATGAATAGTAAGAGAAACACTAACAATTGAATGATCCCAAATTTTTAATACATTTTAATTTTATGCTCCTCATGGATTTCTTGTTTTTTTTTTTTTTTTTGTCTTTTTTTTAAGATATGCGAAGAACATTTTTCTTTAGTTCTTAACAAATGTATGCTTGTCCTGTGAGATTATTTATCAAATCAAATTTGCTTTGAAAATTCAAAGATTTTGAAACGATAAATTCTTTTTCTTTTGTACATAATTGATTATAAATTAAAATATTACACCACTTTGATGTGTCGATGTAGGTTTATTAAGGTTATAAATTAGACTGATTTAGCTATTAAAAACTCTCAAACTTTTAGGATTGCAAATATTCTATTGTAATTTGTCTTAGTATGAAATTTATAGTATAAATTATTTAAGCAAAAATCTATTATATTACTATTACTGACAGGTAAAAACAAAACACATTGAGTTGACCACTTTTGGAAGGATATTGTCATTTAAAGATTCTCTAAAATATCTAGGTGGTGTCAAAATAATGAGATTCTAATATTATCTTTAGCTATCCCAAAATTGAGTCTCTTGCCGTATTTATCGGCGTACAACACGCACTTTTTCTCCCTGAAAATAGGGGGCAAATGATGTGTGCGTGTTATACGCCGATATAATGTTAAGGACCGATAGTACATACCCCATAGCGGCGCCTATGGTGCGTGTTATACGCCAATAAATACAGTAATTAAAGTTAAAAAACATTAATATAGTTTTGTAGAAAAATAAGTAGTTCAGATTGATAATATAAGTCAAGTTTTTTAACAACTGTAAAAGCATGAGTTTCTTACAACAGTCACTTGTTGGATATTATAGTTGATCAATGCTTCCCCCCCCACCCCCCCCATTTTTATTTTCAGAAATATAGATTAATTAGAATATGATTTCACTGTTTTGCCATAACACATAATAATTAATTTTTTATGCTACCTTCCTGGAAGAAGTTTTCTGTAGCAACAACTCTCAACAAGTCATAATCCAGATTGATTGGCATTAATTATTTTAGAAATGAACTAATAAAGCTTCAGTTTATGTCACCAACATTTTTAGAAGAGGATAAATTTTTTGTGTGAACAACTTGCTTTAGTTGAATATTTCTGAGTGTGTTAAATCATGTGAAACAAAAATGACATAAGCCAGACAAGGTAAAATCCTATTTTTGAAAGCAGTCAGTAAAAGTTATTTTAATGCATTTAATTAATGCCACCCCAATTTTAAAATCAAGCTCTTTTTTTTTAAATCTTTAAATACTTTAAACGTTTGTCGACATCGCTAGTCAAGTTTGGTTTCACCCAAAGAATATTACTAAATTTATTGCGCTATTAAGAAATTGAATTACTGGTGGTATATTTTAAAATAATGTTTGCAAGCAGTGTGATAATAAGCCTTGCGAAATTCTCCCTTAATGTTCATGTATGTGTGTTGTAACTGCTAAAATATGATATCCAGTCTGAATAACTTTACATTGATTGCTTGCAGATGATAAAAGATTTATGTTATATGTTTGTTCACTCTATCTCAACCCACAATATTGAAAAACTAACATGAAGCTGCTCTATTTTGTACAAGTAAAATGCTGTAGTATGTCAGTTATTTAAGTCTAAATCAATACAACTATGTGCTGTTCTATGATACATTGTGAGAACAAACTTAAGTCAAAGAAACTGAGGGTCTTACCTTTTAAAATACGAGTAATGTTTAAAAATAAGTAAATCGAAAAAAATTATTGTTGCATTTATTTACATCATAATAATAATCATAACAATAACTTGAAAACATATCAGGAAGTGTATGACACATATGTACATTTTGGATTGAAATTTATCAGCAGTAGTCTGATGGTAACGCTCTGTACACTTACTGACAAGATCATGAGTATGCTTCTCCCATTAATTACTTGCTAATGCTATCAATAAGCAAAGTAACGTCTGAAAGACACTACAGATGTGTATTCCTTTAGATCCTCATCTGTAATCACCCTGTGCATCTAAACATGACTGACAACAGTCAAATCTAAGATAAAATACGTTCACTTTTATGTGACCACCATTTTATTAGGTTAGCTGGTGGTTGGTAATGAAATGCCTGGAGTGTAATTTTTATGTATAATATTTGTAAATCTATTTGGATATCAAGAAATTATGCATCCTTTATCACTTTGTATATATAGCTAAATTCAACCAATAAAAGCAAAGTTTCTTGAATACACACTTCTTTGATTTATCTTGTAGATATTTAGACATTATCCATCATGGTTTTACGGTTTAACTGTTTACAACTGGAACTTTTTTAGGAAATATTTTTGGAGCAATATTTTACAATGATTAAACCTTAAATAGCAGTAATTTATCTGATTTTAAAAGACTTGTTATTTATTAGACAAATCATTATCATGAGAAGGTTTTAATACTCAAATGGAGCAATATTCTTTTCAAATATTTTCCAATGTAAAAAAAAAATCCCAATAAATTTAAATGTTACTTCTAAATTCTAACATTAACTTTACATTCGCTTGTTTAAAGGTATAAACCTGGGAGTCTAGTTTTCCTAATGTTCAAAAAACCTTACTAATAGCATAAAGCTTGAGCAAACTAAATTACACATTGATTTGTTTCTAAAGTTAGCTGACACCAGGGGACCTGAATCTTCCAGTCATGGGTCATGCAGATGGATATTCTCAAATGTCAGTGGACATTTCAAACCAGGAAATACTATTTAGAAGCATCAACTAAAGTGTTGAGTGACGTGGGCACCCATCTGCCACTTGGGTCTTGCATGAAGACAACGTTGTGGTCGTAGTAAATAGAAGATTTCCCAAATCTGTAAACCTGTTTGCCCTCTTGGGATTTGCCTGATAAGGGAATGTACAACATGTCCTCCTGCTCAGCCTGAAGAAAATAAGTTTGATTATTCAACATTTGGAGGCGTAGCTTATTTCATTTTTTTTTTTTAAAAGATAAATAAATCATCTAAAAATTCCTGTTTGGTTGTGACAAATATGTAGATTTTTTTAAAATTATCAATTACCAGTGACTGCAGAAAGGTTCGAAGTACCTATTTGTTTTAATAATATATTTTGTCATGACAATACCCTTACAGTTCAAAAAATGTTTAAAGTCTAGAGATAATTCAGTGGATCTGTCTCTAATTGTTGAATAAAACTAATCTAAATAATGTGTGATGGATACAATTTGAATGGGATACGTTTCATGCTAAGTCAAAATTTATCCAGTAATGGACAGTGTTCAAACTCACCCTTCTCTCAACCAGATCTTTGAATGTTGTTGGTACACTGTTACTGCTACCACTAACTCTTGCAAGTGAATGGAGCTGCAGAAAAATATTTTATTAGAAGCACTGTAATAAGAAACAGGAGATGAAGTCTATTTATAATTTTAATGAATCCATTTTCATCTAGCATTAGGGGAATTTGAATGAAGGAGGCCTTTAAAGAAAATAAGAATTAGTCTTCTTAATGCATAGTTAAATTAAAGGTATTGATTTTCATTTTAAAAATGTTTGATTTTACTAAAAATTTAGCTTTTCATCCATGACCTATTTAAGGTCTAACGCCAGCCCAAACAAACCTCATTTTCCGTTTTAGATTCCATGGCATCTCGAGGTGGTGGAGCTTTAGAATCCATGATTCTCCTCTCTGCGTGTGTAAAGTATGCCATGTTCTCTTTTATACCCGGTACAAATGTTCCAGATACAGCTCTGTTCATTATCTCCAGAGCTTTGTTGAACTGATCTAAATCACAAAAATAGATAGTTTAAAATATGTTTTACAATTTACAATATAGCAGATTGCATCTCTTTAAGCCATTGCTGTCATAGGAACTAGCAACTTAAAAATTCAACACCAAGCCAATAAGATATACAATAGACCTTGCAACAAAACTGGTGGCTATAATCAGAAAGGTGGGATTACAATTTCTTAGGAAAATCGACCCTTCAGGAGGCAGTATGTACATGTAATTTACACTCTTTCAGCTCAGATATATTAAATTGTTTCCCACTTATTAGCTCCATTGCTTGTTATTCAAATTTTTTTTTTTTTTTTAAATGTATACCCATTGACTCATTTAATTCACTGGAGGCAAAGATTAGGTTGTTTTTTTTTCAACCCACATTCCGAAGATTCCCAACTCAAGCAAAATCTAACCTTTAATGGAAGGATGTCCAATTAAATTTTCTGGGAACTGGGCCTTCCAGCCCAAGTACCACTTGGTGATATCTTGGTAATTTGGCATATTCGACAACCAGGCCACAAGAACCTGGTGCCATTTAGGGAAAAATGCTTTCTCCAACATGTTGACCATGGATTGCACAGGCATCATATCCTTCCATGACATCACCCAGCGCCACGGATCTGAAGAACAAAAAATTCTAGTCCATCAATAGCAATCATTAAGTTACATCAGTAACATTGTTTTGATTAAATAATTATCAAATATTCTGAGAAATTATTTGATATCAAACTAATGTCAAATTAACATCAAAATTTCATTCAGTAAGAAAGCTGAATATATTAAAAAAATATTTCATTAGAAGCACTGTAGTAAGAAACATACAAATATTTGAATAATGGATTTAAATTTAAAAAATTTCTTCCTCAAACCGATTAGTTTAAGGATTATTTATCATTCAATTTTGTTTGCAAGATGCATGTCTCACCTAAAAATTGTTGATGAGGATTTATAGTCAAAGTCTGAATCTCCATCTCCAGTTTAGGCAGAATATTTTTTACTAAGAATGCACTCATATGCCCAGGACGAAAAACACCAAACCAGGGTTCTAGAATGATCTTTGCAGATGCATCTGAAGGGTGCCAATTTATAAGTGCACTTGCAATCTTATGTCGTATGGGAGCATACAGAGGTTCTAATTTCTCACCTGAAAAAATAGACATTTGACTATTAAATATTTAAATTATTCTTGAATGTGAGAAACAAAATGTATAACATCAATATTCTAATTGAAAATTTTCATTTATAAACTAAACAACTTTGTTTCAACTAAACCATTTAGTTATAACTATGGGAAAACTCAACTACTAAGAGCTTTTTCAACTCACCCATTAACGGGAGCCAAGGGTGCAGCCAGCAGTGAATGGGTGTTGTGTCAGTCAGAGGGTTCCAGTTCTCAACTTCCTGTAGTAGCCGTGGCAAGACTAGCTGGTCAAGCATATTTTCTAAAACCCATGGCGGTAGAGCAGGTTTCCAGCTGTCAAGGAGAGTGATCATAGGATCTGTATCTCGCACGCTCCATTTACTGCATATGTTAGGAATGAAGAATTCTCATGAATTAAGCTTACAACTACATTATAAACTATTCACATTGTGTAAGATTATACAGATTTATAACAATTGTATCAATACAATTAATTCAAAAAATTTAGATCATCTTTGTTTGCCTTTGTGTATGGGGGGCGCGGTGGTCAAAGTGATAGTGCGATGCGCTGCGGTACCAAGACTTCAAAATAAATTTCAATCAGTCACGGGTTCGAATCCTGGTGCTGGCACCCCTACAGCTAGGAGAAGGAAACTCCGACTTCAAAAATCCTCCGCTGCCTTGCGGCTATACCCTTCGGGAAAGGCTAAGGGAGTAAACCCCGACAGAAAATCAGGAAATGGAGCACCTACAGGCAGTCTATACATAAAACTCTTATGTACATACCGGCAGCTCCTGCGACGCCAACGGCAGCCAAGCCGCATCGACGCAAGTCGTTCCCTTGGTTACACCATTGACGTGGAGAGGGTGGATATGCTGTATGGGCAGCAGCTAATTCTCCATAATACCCTCCAGCGTCGCCGCAAGGTGTCGACAAAACACGGGAAGCAGCAGTTACCGGTTATAAGCCAAAAGCTCAATTGACGTAGAGCTAGGCGCCAGGGGCTGCTTCCGACGGTGGGAGAGACTACCAATGTCTCACTGGACAGCTACCGCCCGCCTCAAACTGGGCAGCCCCCAGTCAAATAGGTGCTATCCCGTCATGGCCTGCCTTCTCCACTGGGTGCGTGGAGATTAGAGTACCACTCAACAAGTGGGCCACTAAGCCCTGCACCAAGAAACACAAAAAAGAATCGCTAGCTGGAACGTGAGGACTATGTGTCCCGGCATCACTGATGACCCGCAGTCAATAAACGACACACGGAAGACAGGAATAATCGATAGAGAACTTGAAAGGCTAAAGATTGACATCGTTTGCCTTCAGGAGACCAGGCTCCCAGACAACGGTACTCTAAGACTCAGAACAGCTGCGGGCCCAGCAAACATTCTTAGTGTATATGCCCCAACTCTCTGTTCAACTCCGGAAGAGAAGGACCAGTTCTATGGAGCTTATCTGGTCCGTTATCGGTCGTAGGACAAAGACGAGGCAATCTACCTCCTGGGAGATTTCAATGCTAGAGTGGGGAGCGACCACGAAGCCTGGCCCACATGCCTTGGACTCTTTGGAAGAGGAAAGATAAATGAAAATGGACAGAGGCTTCTGGAATTGTGCTGCTCACGAGGCTTGTGTGTGACCAACACTTACTTCAAGTGCAAGGATATACATCAAGTATCTTGGAGACACCCTCGATCCCGCCAATGGCACCAGCTGGACCTCATCATCACCAGGCGTGCACAACTAGCTAGCATCCTAAATAGCTGGTGGTCTGGAGTTCAATCCCCACCAAAGCCATCCCAAGCAACCCGGGTGGATGGGACTCGTTAGCCTTGGACGGCAACCTGTCTAAGAGAAGGCAAACTCTGAATTTAAAACCAGGAGCCAGAATGATCAACAAATTGATCGTGGGCACCTCCAATACAAGAAGAAGACTCACTCGTAGCTACCACAGTGCCGACTGTGACACAGATCACTCCCTTGTCGCCAGCAAGGTACGAATAATGAGGAAAAACTCGTACCACTCCAAGAAAAAGGGATGTCCACGTATCAATACCTTCTGCATGAAAGACCCTGCGCTAACGCAGCTGTTCACAGACAAGGTGAAGGAAGGTATCTCAAGGATGTCACCATTGACTCGAAATGGACGCATCTCAGAGACACAATCTATACATCCGCAATACAGGCCTTCGGCAAAAAATCTCACAAAAACACGGACTGGTTTGATGAACATTGGGACGAGATGAAACCTGTCACTGAAGCCAAAAGGAAAGCTCTTACGGCTTACAAGGAAAAGCCTACACCCGACAGGTTGCATGCCTTAAAAACAGCCAAGTCACTTGCCCAAAAGGTTGCACGTAATTGCTACTGGCTTAACCTCTGTTCCAGCATACAGTCAGCTGCAGATATGGGTGATGCAAAAGCAATGTACGAAAACATCAAAAAGGCAACTGGCCCCTTGACGTCCAAAGTTGCTCCTCTAAAGTCCAAAAATGGAGAAATTATCCAAGACCGGGCAGCACAGCTAAAACGGTGGGTTGTCGAGATGAAACCTGTCACTGAAGCCAAAAGGAAAGCTCTTACGGCTTACAAGGAAAAGCCTACACCCGACAGGTTGCATGCCTTAAAAACAGCCAAGTCACTTGCCCAAAAGGTTGCACGTAATTGCTACTGGCTTAACCTCTGTTCCAGCATACAGTCAGCTGCAGATATGGGTGATGCAAAAGCAATGTACGAAAACATCAAAAAGGCAACTGGCCCCTTGACGTCCAAAGTTGCTCCTCTAAAGTCCAAAAATGGAGAAATTATCCAAGACCGGGCAGCACAGCTAAAACGGTGGGTTGAGCATTATCTGGAATTGTATTCAACAGTTACCACAGTCTCCAGCACTGCTCTAGATGACATACCAGATATGCCACTCATGGAAGAACTTGATGTCGTGCCCTCACAGGAAGAGCTGAGCAAAGCTATTGATAGCCTAGCTTGTGGAAAAGCGCCTGGGGATGATGGAATACCACCAGAGGCTCTAAAGAGTGGTAAGATAGCTTTACTCCAACCATTGCACGAGATTCTGTCCCTCTGCTGGGAACAGGGCTACATCCCCCAAGACCTAAAGGATGCAAATATAGTGACACTATATAAAAACAAAGGTGATAGGAGTGATTGCAATAATTATCGCGGCATTTCACTCCTTAGTATTGTAGGAAAGGCCTTTGCTTGTGTCATACTAACACGTTTACAGAGTCTAGCATCTCGTGTCTATCCAGAATCTCAGTGCGGTTTCCGGTCTGGCCGGTCTACCATAGACATGGTGTTCTCCATACGACAGCTCCAGGAAAAATGCAGAGAGCAGCAGATGCCACTGTACATTGCCTTTGTGGACCTTAAAAAAGCCTTTGATTACGTCAGTCGCAACGGGCTATTCAAAATACTGGAAAAAATCGGCTGTCCCCCTCACCTACTTGCCATCATCAGAGAGTTCCATGAAAATATGCAGGGTACAGTGCAGTTCGATGGAGCCAAGTCAGAAGCCTTTCCAGTAATCAGCGGAGTTAAACAAGGTTGTGTACTCGCACCAACACTGTTCGCAATATTCTTCTCTGTACTACTTCGATACGCATTCAAGGATAGCAGTGAGGGAATCTGGTTACACACCAGAGCTGATGGAGGACTTTTCAACACTGCCCGCCTCCGAGCCAAGACCAAAACGACAGATGTCCTAATTCGCGAGCTACTATTTGCGGATGATGCGGCACTAACAGCACACACAGAAATTGGTTTGCAACAACTCGTGTCAAGCTTCTCCAATGCCTGCAAAGAATTTGGTCTGCAAATCAGCTTGAAAAAGACAAACATCATGGCCCAAGACACTCGACCTCCACCTAACATAAAAATCGATAATGAAAACTTGGAGGTTGTGGACAGCTTCACCTACTTGGGGTCCAAGGTCTCCAATACACTGTCCATTGAAGAAGAAATTAACAGCAGAATCGGCAAGGCAGCTGCCACAATGGCTAAACTAAATAAACGGGTCTGGAAAAACACCAAGCTAACGGAGAAAACCAAACTGTGCGTCTATCGAGCTTGTGTCATCAGTACACTACTATACGGGAGCGAGACATGGACCACCTATACATCCCAAGAGCGCAAGCTTAATAGCTTCCATATGAGATGCCTGCGTCGCATACTTGGTATTAAATGGCAAGAAAAAGTGACTAATAGTGAGGTCCTAATGCGTGCGAATAGCCAAAGCATGTTCACAATCCTTAGTGAAAGACGCCTGAGATGGCTAGGTCATGTTAAAAGAATGAGTCCCGGCCGCATTCCGAAAGACCTCCTATATGGTGAACTTGCTTCTGGAAAGAGGAAAACAGGTCGCCCACGTCTGCGATTTAAAGATGTCTGTCAAAGGGACATGAAAGCAGCCAAAATACATACAAGTGACTGGGAGTGTAAGGCAAAAGACCGATCTACGTGGCGCACAGTTGTCAAAGAGGACGTCATGGTAGCCGAGGAACGAAGAATGGAAGAGGCTGCAGACAGAAGAGCTAGGAGAAAGGCCAAAACATTTGGAAGCACGGAACTCGTGTGTAAAAACTGTGGTAAAGACTGTCACTCAAGGATAGGACTGCACAGCCACTCGAGAAAATGCAACCCAAACCAACGGTGATGCACCATCGTCTCACGAGACGGAAGGATGCCGATACCTTTGTGTAATTAACATTCTTTTTAAGAAAATGGAAGGACAGTGAAAAATAATAACGAAATAGCAAAGTGATGTTGATGAAAATAGAAGTATAATGAACTAATAACCATGGTCTTTTATAAGCTATAAAGTACTTAAAGAAATTTTTTTTTTTTTTTAAAACAACTATAGTATTATTTTAATTTCTTTTCGTGAAGTTAATAAGAAAAGGGATTTATGTCCGAAACTAAAACTTACAGTATTGTTGATCTAACTGGTGGCAACCAAACATCCCATATCAACCTCTGGTAGACATCCATGTTGGCATGCTCCTGGTTCCTGTTTCGAGACACCATTGCACTTTCATCAACCCCAAGCAATAACTGCCACTCCATGACTGTGTGAAGACCATAAGTGGGATTACGCAAGGGTAACCATCCTATGAAGAATGCTTTCATCTGAAAAATTACGTGCATGAGAATTTAATAGAAAACGTTGAAATGTTAACAATTCAAAATAAATACTTATTAGGTTCTAATTTTGTTTTATCTATCTAATAATTGCAATAGTTTTGCTGCTTATAATTTGCTGTCAATGGAGAATAATCTTTTAAAAAATCAACTTTATTTAACCCTGAATTTTTTTACATAAATTCAACATTCACATTAAATAAATTAGGCTTGAGAGGTCTTACCAAGGGAAAAATCAAGGCTATTGCTAGTGATGGTAGATCATAAATCTTGTATTCTTCATAATAGTCTTGCTGTAACATCTTGAATATTTCTGCACAAGTATCAAGTGTCAATGGGTCACAACTGTCTGGCTTCGTTCTATTCTCACAGCTGACAAAAGAGAACAATTTCAATAATAGCTCAAAGAAGGAACAGCACTTTAACTGATAATTTAATGGTAATATTCATTTCACCGTATAGAAATAAAGGGGGAAAAACTGTTTTGATGGAAATTTTTTTGACACATACCTAGTATGAGCACAAAATTATCTTTGCTTACAGAAATATCAAATTATTAGCTATTCAAATATAATCCTCAACCATGTTTATTAAGCTTTTATATTGGCTTAAAATTTGGAAACATGTTAAAATAAATGCAAATTATTTTTATTTTTTTCTTTCAGACAAATTATATGAACTAATCATATGGATAGCAGACATGAGAATCCAATGCATTAGAACATGATTTATTGTATTATATCTTACAATTTTTTCTAAGTTGAGAGCTATTTCAAAACAGAAAACATTTTTAACAGAAGATACTCTGACATGGTCAATAACATTTATCATTTATGGTTAACAGCACAACTATGCAGATGTAGGATTTAGTTTTTAAAAAGTATAGATAAGTGGGGAATTAGAATAACATAGTTGTTAAGACTTGTCAAAACTCACACACTTAAATAGGAAGAGTACCCTCATTGTTTCAGTTGTGCATTTATTAGCCTGATCAATGATGAAATCTACAATTTGAAAAATACCTTCATCTCCAGCCCATTTAATCATTGGCAGTTTATTCCCCCCTACTGAGTCCCTTAGGATAGCGCTCATAAACAATTCAAAAAGTGGACAAAATAAGAAAAGAAAGAAACCTTGTGACCAAATCCATAACTGTTTGCAATCGCTGCAGCTGCTTCTCTTCTTGTACAACAACAGTTTCCAGACGTTCTTCTTCATGCTGTAGATTGACAATACGATCACGGTCATATCGAAGTCTTCTATCGTTATGAATGATGTCATCCTCTGACATCTCCACGAGCAGATTAAGGTTGTGCATGAGCTCTGGCATACTAAAAGCTCTCTGTTTCACAACAGGTTCTTGGTTGACAAGCTCTTCCTCTTCGTCTGGTTTGTCATGACTTTTTCCAATGGCATGGTAACCTAGATGGTGAATTGAAATAGAAGCTTATAAATTTTCAATCATGACTATGAGCTCACATGATATGAGATAGTATATTTACTTTTGACTAAATAAACAGCTGTTCTTGGGGTCCAACAAATTTGACCTCAGTGTAAATTAAGCCACTTTATTAGGAGCAAATCTTTCCATGATACATTTGAGTGGGAGGCGACTGCCTGGGTTGCATGCAGAGAGAGCTTGTATCAAAACACTGTTTAACGTTAAGTTATGCATTATTCTCTGTTATTTTATAACCCTGTTCCAAATGCGCTGTTAACATCAAGTATATTGAGAAATCCAAAAGTATTGTTATGTTTTGAACATCTAGATGCTATTAAAAGCATGGTTAAAATAAATGTATATGTTCAAAATCTAGATTATAAGCTAATCAAAGCATTTTTATAATTAAAGAATATGTTACAAAAAATAGATTATGAAATGGTAAACATTTATTCTTAACTCTTCCTCTCCGGAATTAATTTCAATGTTCTAACGAATTATCTAGTTTGCATATTTGTTAGGCACTCCTATGCTACCTTTAAACCATTATAACTTTTTTTTTTTTTTAATCAGAAAATGTTAAGTTTGGTATGGAATTAAAGGGAAATGTATGCCCTTTACAAGCAAACCTGGCTTGGGTTTAAATTTTAATATATAAATGTGATGATTTAAGGATAATATAAAAAAAAATTTTTAAATCACCAACTCTTCACAAAATGCTCATTCCAAGTCACACGAACAAAGAGAAATATATAATCCAAAGTGTAACAAAAATGTTTTTTTTCTGAACTATATCCATATGTGCATCACAAATAATAAAGATCAACTTAAAAAAAAAAAAGAAAACACCAGAGCACTTTATCCATTGTCATCACTACACAAAAATTTCAGAAAAAAATTAATTATCTCCACTGGAAACAAACTGTTGCTATTAGTAGAAAATATTTGCATATGCTTGTATGTACTAACATTAATTATGGTAATGGAAAATTTACCATAAATTTGTCATATCTTTTCATCTGGGTTTAGCTATGGTAAGCCTAAAAAACAATCCATATGGATGTGCACTTTAGCTGGGGGACGGGGCTGGTTGTTCAGCTGATAAATTAAAAAGTTCATTATTTCATCACTAGTACTACTAATACTAGTACTAGGATTATAATTATATGATTTATCAGAATCAGCCTATGCATCTGAAATCATAAAATCACTGTCTGAATCATCATCAGAGTAATATTTTCCACCTTTATTAGATCAATCACCAGATGGGTCAGGTCAAGATTTCATGTTTTTAAACAAAAATAAAATGGACAATCAAAACAAACGCTTCAAAAATCTTGTTCTATGTAAAAATTTGTTCTAACAAAGAAAAACCAGATGTTTATACAAGGGAAATCATTCTAGAATTGATTTAAAATAATTAAAAAGGAATAGCTAAGAAAAGAACCGAAATAAACAGGTTTTTAGACATTGACGATGCCATCGTCGATATGCCAAAATGTTCATTTCAAATCGACAATGGGAGCGTTGATGCGGAGAGAAAGAGTTAAATATGTGGGTTTTTTTAAGTACTATGTAATTACCTGACAGAACTCTTTGCTCACGACCTGTCATGTCAATAACTTTAACTTTCGGTGCCACACCTCTGTCAGGTTTGCGACGCTTCCCTCCGGTCTCCAACACTTCCTGAGCTGTCTTGTAGACATATTTAGGCTTCTGTTTCTTGCCCTGACGAGATATGATATAGTAATATAAAAGAGATTTCCTAACATGGCATCCCAGGTTTCATGAATACATTTACTCCAATCAAATCTGTGAAAATTTCTTTAGGTCATATTTAACCAGTATTTTAATATTCTAAAAAAAGTGTTCGACTCTTTAAGATAATTTTTTTTTTTTTTGTGATATCTAAGTTAAGGTAAAAATGAAGGGATGAAAAAATTGTTCATAGCTTACAATTGTTGAGATCGAAACTATGAATTTTTCTTAGCTGTTTTCTTTTAAATAGTAGAATTGTACATTTTAAATTTTGGTATGGTCACAACGATCATTATAAAAACTTGATTTTAATGTCACACTCTTATTTATTTTTAGACTATTTTTAAGTAAAAAATAAAACCTAACATTCTTTACCACCACTTGTACTACAACTAGTAAATCGACACTGTACAGAAAAATTGTATAAATTTTAAAAACCTCTACAGGTTGTTTCTTCCACTGTGAAAGCTGCTTTTGAAACTCTTTTTCTTCTTCCGCCTCTTCATCTTTGACAGGGAAGTCCTGAAGTGATCTCTCAGACCTCTCAGTCCCATGAATGCCAACAGCGCCACGACCTTTTCGTTTGACCGCCTCTACTGGAGTGGTAATGCCCTGACCGCTCTTACCCAGCCCCTCTCCAGGTTTGTAACCAAACTTGAGACGAGAGGAATTCACAACATATTATTAAAAATAATTACTGATAACGAAGTCTACTTATAGGCCATTAAAGCAAATTATTTGTTTCTTGACAATTTATAATTGTGTAATAAAATGGCATATTTAGATAATTTGTAACCTTTTAACAAAATGACATGACTGGTTTAATGTAGCGCCATCAATGTAAATCTTACCTTCATCAAAAGCTTCTGACCGATACCTCTTGTATACTTTTCCCAAGCTCCAAACTCCCTGTAATACAAAGTTAAGTAGAATTATAAACCTTTTTGACAGTATTGATCCCTTTCTCTTTTCAAAAGGATAAAATAAAATTGCACTGTTAAACAGAAAACTAACATTTCCATTGCCTGTAACTGGTGTACCAAAAAAATGATATCATAACAATAAAATGACTAACCTGTCAGAGTCTTTTTGGTGACCTTTGACATAACGTGGCATTGGACTAGGAGCTTCTTTATTAGAGCTCTTCTTTTTCTTCACCCATGATTCATCATCCATAACCTAGTTGTTTTTTTTAAATTAACAATCATTCATCTTCCATATTCTAGCATTAAAAAAAATTATCTGGACTTTGCAATGAGCAAGCACTTATTATTAAAATACAAAACATTTTAAAATTGAAATAATTGAAGCCATAGCAATTATCTTAATATTCAGTTATTTAAGAGATGTGCTGATTTTAGCTATTTTTAAATGTCATTAAATAGCATAGAATTGAGGCACTGTACTTTACTGTAAAAACATAGTTATATAGACAAGCTTTTTCAAAAATACAATTATTTTTTTTCTGCAATTTTATGTTTTTTTTAATAGAAACAAATTTACTGTACGCTGAACTTACAAAGTCCTTTGCATCTTTATCTTTGCTTTCCTCTTCTTTGAAGCCCCCGCTGATAAAACTAATTCCACCTGTCAGGACCTTGCTCTGGCTTTTTTTCTTCCTCCCACCTCCTCCAGTCATTTCACTGTCACTGTCATCACTCTCTTTGTCTGCCCATATTCCTGAGAACAATTTTAAATATATAAAATTAATGAAATAAATGTTTTAGAAATGGTCTTCTCTGCTATATCTATAGTTATATTGATGACGATGGTTAAAATACATTTCAGTAATCGACATCACTTGGCCCTGTAATTGAAATAAACTGGCGTTAAAAGTCTTATATTAATAATCTACCCTAAAACTGATGCAGATAACATAGAGAAAATCAGTGCTTGTAAAGCATTGGGCCTACATGCTGGCAAAGTATTGACTTGGATAAGTTTATATTTTTCTATGACTCTAACAATTTAACCAGCTCAAATTCAACAGCATACATATTTTTTGCTCATTTACAATTGTTATTAACTTTAAATTTTCTGAATAACAATTTTATCAAATCAAGTGCGTGTAAGGCAACCCACACATAATAAAAATAAGGCTAAGGCAATTGGTAGTGGTAAAAAACTACCAATAGCTTCTAGAGAGTTATTGGTACTCTATTACCAGTAGCTTACTATCAAAAACTGCTAATTGGTGCTAGATTGATGTAGTGCAGCATTGACTAAGTATTGGTATTTTTTAATGACATCCCCGAAATCACTTTTAAGTAGGTATGTGAAATTCTGACTTTTTGCATCACCAATAGAATATGTTGCCAAAAAATGAATGATCATGGTGTACTTCAAATTTTATTTTTTGTGTCTTGTCTCATAAATTCACTCCAGATTTGATTTTCAAGACACTTATTTGTCTTTGTATATATTTTATGTATTGCAGCTTATGTTTTCATTGGATTCTATGCTATTAAATACATAAATTTGGCATAGCCTAAAAACATATAGTAAATGGTGATTCCTAGACATTAAATCAATTTGTGTTATAGATGAACAATTTACCCAATGAAATTTTTTAATTGTACATAAAAATATGAATGCCTTTATAAATTAAGAGTGCTCAATTGCTCCCTAGAAGCTATTGGTAAGTTATTACCAATAGACAATTCCTAATTTTAATTAATTAGGTTAACATCAAATCAATATAAAAGGCAACAAAAACTAAAATTGTTTGAATTACTTACTAAAACATATATTCTGTTCCAGCTATTTATCATATAGATAATAGATGGCCTTAATGGCTGCTTTTGGACCCTTCCTCCCCCAATGTCACATATTTTTCACAAAATTTACAAACCTCACAATGCATCATCACAAATGTGTGCCCCCCTTCCACCTATAGATGAATGAAATTATTTATGCATGCCGCTGCATGGGACTAACCAACTCCACCCCCAAATCATCCTCATCCTACTCTTCCTCAAACTTATCCCTTACCCTATCACATATTATCCCTATATTGACTCTTATCTTGCCACACACCCTCTCTCTCAGTTTAATTAAGCACAAGTTGCTTCTTTTAAATGTGTAGCCCACTAGCAACTTAAGTAAAAAATGGTAAAAGAGACTTATCATGTAGCTTATTCAAAGTCAGTGGCATAACTTTACATTTTACATCAACAGACAAACTTAAAGTAGTCAAAAAATTAAAAATGAATTTGCATTGGACTAATATCACTAAATATGTCTAATATGATATAATATAATAAAATTGATAATAATCATAATAAATGAATTATAGTAGGCCAAAGTTTAGAGTTGAGAATTTACCATAAGTTGCCTGGTTCTTTGTTTGTCGTCGTCTGCTAGCACTTGTTGGATCAAATATTTGATTATAATCAAAATCTGTCATTTCAAACCGTTCAACTTCTGGTGACGACATTTTCTATGACACACGTGAATTCAGGCACTTGTCTCTAAGTCTCTAGTCAATTCTACTCCTTTTTGTCCTGAGCCTGAGTTGTTAGAAATTTAATTTCGCAAAGCCTTTTTCTTTAAGAAGAGGGCTAGGCTGCTGTAGTGACAGGGTAGTTTTGTCCTTTGGATGTTTAACTTACTTAGCCTTAGAAGTCACAATGATCAATGACAAAAACTTGAACAAATGTTTATTATTATTTAAATTTAAGTAAACTGAGAGACTAAGTTGTCTAAGTAACTTGGTTAGTCTTAATAAGTTAACTCTTACTTAGTACTTAGTTAACTTGTTGTCTCATAGACCCAAAGTTAGAGGCACTTCTGACTTCTCAGAGAGTTAGAGTTATCAATTAATTCAATACTATGCCTGCTTATTAAAATTAATCATAATCTTATACTTATATTATATGTCAAAGTAAAAGTAGCAAGGCAAGGAATCAATACTTTCTCCAGTTCAGAACACTCCAACTCGGCAAAATCAATGTCACTGTATCTCAGTTTATTAAGGCATCTGAGTCCAACTTCAAACCAATTAGGCTAAATTATTTTATGTTTAAGTTAGGCCTAGTCTAGTTGCCTACTTCTAAATCACTACACTTGCTTGACTTCTTTTCTTATTAATACTTAATACAAGTGCTTACTTTACTAGACTACTAGATAACTTTATTATTATTAAGTCTACAGTCTGGTATTTACAAAAAGATATAACCAATATCAAGTTGTATTTTTCTTTATTTTAAATTCATTTTAATTGATTAAAATCGAAATTCTTGGCTATCAAAGATAATAATGGAACATCTTAATCTTATCATCCATTACATGTTTCTAATGGCAGGCGCCATTTTGAATTGATCCTACTTCGTTTTAAAACGTTTTATTTTTGTTTTTTTTAAATCGAAGCTAGTTTTTAGAAAATTAAACTCGTCAAAAGAATATTTCATTTTAAAAAATATAATAAATAGCTTGAATAATTATTTTCTAATACTAATCAGAGCAATTTAATTTAATTACAGAAAGTAATATGTTTTTTGTTGTTTTTTTTCACTTTCAGCTGGCACAAGTCGGGTTTTGTGTTCTTGATTTTAACTTGATAACTTTTTATTGCTGAATTGAAGTTACAATATTTTATTTTTAGTTATTTTAATGATTTTGGGGGTGGGGGTGGGGGTGTGGGGAGAAAGTGATGGAGAGAGGAAGCTCGTAGGAGACTGGAACAAGCTTCCAAAAGGAACAGTTCAGGCGACAACACTTGACACATCTGCGTGTACACTAGGGTTACCAAATCATGAACTGGAATAAACGGGACACCCAAGGAGGGGGGGAATACCCACAAGCTAAAGAGGGGCCCGGGGGCCTCTTTAGCTTAATTAGATGAGAAGGAGGTTTTAAAAAAAAATGGCTGGGACAACAGCCAAAAAAAATATCCTCAATTTAAATCCTAGTCTAGGATTTAAATTGAGGATATTTTGGCTGTTGTCCCAGCCATTTTTTAAACCTCCTTCTCATCTAATTACTAATATGTGAAAATGAGTTTGGTTTTAGAAACGGGACATTTAAGCGTCCCGAGACTTTTCCGGGACACCGGGCACGATCGTGAAAAAACTGGACAATCCCGTTTTTACGGGACGTTCAAATCATTGATCAAGAAGTATGATAGTGACGTAGCTTGCGTAAAAAGAATTATAATTTGTTTGTTATTATTTTATCCATTTATGAGGCACTACAACATCAACACAAACCTCACCAGAATGATATGCCACCAGTGCAGTCTTCCTCAACAACAACATCGGAGAATAGTTCAAGACCCACGGTTGGAGTACGACAAGGCTGCCTGCTCTCCCCCACCCTGTTCAACATCTTCCTAGAGAGAATTATGTCAGATGCTCTGGAAGCGCATGAAGGGACAGTCAGCATTGCAGAGGCGTAGCGAGGGTGTTTTGCGCCCGGGGACAAGATCCATTTAAAAGCGCCCCTTTTTCTTTTTTTCAACTCTCAAGCCCATTATTTTCATCAATAAAATAATATCAAAGCACATTTTGGCGCCCCTAACTAGCTGGCGCCCCGGGACATCTGTCCCCTCTGCCCCCCCTCGCTACGCCTCTGCAGCATTGGTGGCAGAATAATCCCAAACCTACGCTTTGCGGACGACATTGACGGACTGGCTGGGAACGAAGAAGAGCTAGCCAACCTGGTAAAGCGTCTCGATAAGACCTCGTCATCCTACGGCATGCTAATCAGTGCTGAAAAGACAAAACTGATGACAAATAACACCACGGGCATCACCAATGAAATTAAAGTCGGGGGGGAAAGACTAGAAACTGTAGGCCGCTTCAAATACCTTGGAGCAATAGTCTCAGAAGAAGGCTCCAAGCCAGAACTGATGTCCAGGATTGCGCAGACTACAACAGCACTAAAGAGGCTCAAGAAAATATGGAATTACAAAAATATAGCCCCCAGCACCAAAATCAGGCTGATGGGCTCATTAGTCCTTTTAATTTTCCTGTATGCCTGGGAATCCTGGACATTAACAGCCGATATTGAAAGGAAAATAAAGGCGATGGAGATGAGATGCTTCAGAAGCATTTTTGGCATCTGCTATAGGGACCATATCTCCAATGATACAGTGAAAGAAAGCGTTCGTCAGGCAATTGGGGAGTAGGATGACCTACTAGTGACAGTGAAAAAACGCGAACTGCAATGGTACGGCCACGTAACAAGGAAACAAGGGCTTGCCAAAGAAATATTGCAGGCCACCACAAGAGGAGGGAGAAGAAGAGGAATACAAAGAAAAAGATGGGAGGATAACATCAAAGAGTGGACAGGACTAACACTGGGGGATGCTGTGCGTAGTGCAAAAGATAGAGACGAATGGAGGATAGTTCACAAGTCATCTGTGGCACCCCAACGGTCTAAGGGACATGATGATGATTTTATCCATTTAGGAACCGGTTTGGAAACGATTTTTTAAAATGCAATCCCAAATAATTAATGTTGCACGTAAAAACGTGTGACTGACACATTTTATAAGAATGAAAGTACCGTTAGAAGGTGAAATTATTATTTTATTTTTTTTAGAACAGTCAAAGCAAATTTTATTTTGATACCATTTGGTACCAGAACTTTACCTACTTATCATCAGTGACCAAACTGTGACAATGCAATCCGCATTTACCGTACAATTTACGCCAACTTTTGTTAACTGATTACCCGCTAGCAAGGGGCTATTCACATTTTACCAACGCTAAATTCTCCCCCCTCCCGATACACCCTTACACTTTTGGTCAATGCCCCCCCCCCCCCCACCCCCTCCCCCCCCTCGACCCCCCCCCCCCCATTTTTTTTTTTTTTTTTGGGAAAAGACTCATTTTGGCAGTGGCGAAGCTGGAGTTGGGGTCACCCGGTGAAGAAAACTCAGGGTGTCCCCCCCCCCCCCCCCCCCCGACATATTTACTTCTCAGAATTTTGATAAATATAGCTTCCTGGCTCTTACAAAAGTTACAGAACACTTCAATCATGGCCAAAACGGTGTTTTTGTGACCTAATTATAGAGTCGCCCTTGAACTTTTAATAAAGCACGCATTTGGATTGGTTTCATGTGTGGAAAATTTACATGTGATTGGTTATCCTTTAATTAAATTCGGTTAGACCAAGCAGTTTTGCTCTGTAAATGGTGCAATTTTTCAATTTGGTGTCACCTGGTGCGGTCCACATGCCCCGCACTCCTTTAGCTCCATGTCACCTAATTGGATGTTTTATATCTAAATATTTTGATTTTTCAAATTTTGTTCAGTTAATATTGGCTGATGGATGTTCTTGGCCAAACCAAAAGTTTACAACAGATTTAAATATCTATGTCTAAGTCTCAAAATTTCTAAGTATTTTTCTCTGTGTTTGATTAAATAATCATTATTGTTGAGGTGATCCATAAATGTGGTCACACTATTTTGGAAATCCCCCCCCCCCCCCCCAACAACTTTCCATGCATATCCTGTGCCCCACAAAAGAGAGGGTTAACATTACTGTTTGTTCGCCGATGAAGGCTTCTTGTCGACGTCGAAACATTTGTTTTGTTGCGTTCTTTTTCTCAGGTTTTCCCACAATTCGTTTCGCTCATTTCCTTAATACATATAACAAAAGAGGATTTAGTGGCTCAAGTGGAAAACACACAATTCTAAAAATACATAAACACAAGTTCATTAGAATTAGTTTATTAGAGTTTTTTTATTATAAACTAAATTATATTGATTTATGAATTTCAAGTCAATGATTTAAAACATATCTTTTCATGTGTGTCCATGGAAGTTTTCGTCTCAAACCCCAGTAACACATGGTAGAAAACTCACACCCATACATGCACAATAAAATTTGGATTTGTCTCTTTAACTAACTTCAAACAAGCATTGAGAATCCAAGACATTACAAATTGATTTATGTGGTATCAGCGCACCACAATTAATTCAAATACCATATTTGAAAACGATCATGTTTGCACATTTACAATAAAATTTCTTTTTTGAAGAAGGAACACAAGTACCAACTAATGTTCAACAGCCTGGATAGCACAAACACTGGCTTTAGTCAACAGTTTTCAATCGGCACAGATTTTAATTTCATCTCAACACCAAATTCTCTTTATTTTAAGTTTCAAATTTTAAAATGTATTGAAAATAGAAGTTTTATTAAGAACTGAAAGTTTTAGTTAAAAAGTTTCTACTTCCATTATCAGACCTAAATGGAAGATTACTTTATAAACTACTTTACCTGGAATTGGCACTTGTTGAGAAATAAATTATTTCATGAAATTCCGGTATAGATAAATAACATTTGAATTTATGTACACAAGCATAACATACATTATTTTATATGTGATCATGTCTTTAATTAAACATAAATAAAACAGTATAATTATTTTTCCAAATGAAAATATTTTATTTTACATGATTACTTATATTAATGTTATAATGAATGGTAACTTATATCATGCACATCCTAAAATTTATACAATATCTTTAACAGGCACGTTTCAGTTTGCAAACATACACTTTAAGGAACATAAAAAAAAAAAATATCATATATTACATGATTTACAATACCGGTAGGCATTTTCAACTTATTTTAGTATTTTACTTTGGCAGAGTAGGCGTATAGTTTAAATAAAATATACATGTTCAATGACTGATACAACTCCTTTCATGTGTAAAAAGACAGCTAACATTAACAAATAGGATTGCATCATATAACGG